CCCGGCTGCCCCTGCGTCCCCCCGGCCAATCCAAATCACCGAATCTCGCCAAATCTTCTGAAGCTGATTCAGCTGAATTGATTCAGGACAGTGATCTGAATCGAATCACCGTCCTCCAAATCGAATCACTGTCCTCCGAATCGGCCAAATCCGAATCTGAATCAAATACTTCCCTGTTCACACAGGCCTAATGTCTATGGATCCATGTCCTTTCCTGAAATCACACTGACTCTCAGGCAAGAGCCCTTGTTCAAAGTGTTGCACAAGGCAATTCAACAGAACTCTGGTGAGGATTTTACCAGCTACTGACAAGGAGATGCCCCAATGGTTGTCGCAGGCTTGTCTGTTGCCTATATATATATATATATATATATTGATTACACAAGCGGACGATGGATGCATCCTTGTACTCCTGAGATATAATATCTTGAGTCCACATTGACTGGAAGAGTTCAGTCAGTTTCAAAGCCATGTGCGAGCCCCTGGGCTTGTAGACCTCTGCTGATATAGCATCTGCTCCAGGTGCTTTGCCATTGGACAGCAGCTTAATTGCTTTCACAGTCTCAGTCAGCATTGGAAGATCAGCAAGAGATTTGTTAATATCTATCTGGGGCAATCAATCAATTACCTCCTCACTAATAGATGATTGTTCATTGAGGATGTTGTTGAAGTGTTCTGCCCATCTCTGCAGTATGTTTCCTTTATCAATAAGCAGTGTGATAAAGGTGCCCTAAACATTGTCTGCTTCACCTTAACCCTGGTCAGCATACTGCAGCTGATGTTCTGCCCATGTCTGCAGTATCTTTCCTTTATCAATGAGCACCTCTGCGATAAGAGACTCCAGATCTTCATCAACACTCAGTATCAGAGATGTTCCTGATGACCATGGCCCATAGATTGTCCTCAGCATCATAGAAGTTCTTCAACTATTGTTCCTGTCTCATTTACTTTGTTGCTCAGCCATGGGTTTTGTATCTCTGAGTTTGCATAGCATAATCCCCTTGATGTTATTGAAGGCTGCCTTCTCAGATGTTGAAATGCTGTCTTCTAAGCAGGCCATATGGAGCCGAGGTTTTTCATTCAGCAGTCTCCCTACGTGGTATCATTTTCATTAAACCAATCTTGATATTTACGTGTGGTGGGACCAAGGGTATTGGATGCAGCCAAGCAGACAGTCTCCGAAGGATGCCCAATTTTCCTCAATGTTATTGGAGTTTACATCAATTGTCACTAGTTGGCTGTGCAGTTCTTCAACAAATGCTTGTTTCACATTCTCCTGTTTCAATTTGGAGACACTGAGCTTTCTGGGTGCTTTTGTGCCTTGTGGTTGTCTACTAGGATGTATCCGGATATTCAGTATGGAGACTATGAGCCTGTGGTCAATCCAGCATTCTGCACTTTTCATTGCATTTGTCAGTCATCCTGTCTGTCTCTTCTCTCGATGATGATGCAGCCAATGAGATGCCAGTGCTTGCCAGATGCACAGGTGCATCCAAGACATCTTGTTGCAATTTGGCAGAAGGAAGACTGTGTTGGTGATGAGGAGGTTGTGTTTGGTGCATTTCCTCAGCAGGAGGAGCCTGTTGCTGTTACATTTCCGAAGACCATTTTTTCTGATGACACCTCACCATGCCTGGTGATCTGCACTAACTCTAGTGTTAAAGTAACAGAAAATGATCAGCTTGTCTGCCTTCAGCACTTCTGTGAGAAGAGACTCCAGATCTTCATAAAATTTGTCCTTAATCACATCTGGGTTGGTCACAGTGGGTGCATAAGCACTGATGATAGTTGCGCATCTTCACCCAGACAGTGGGAGTCTCATTAGCATGAGTCTGTCATTCACTCCCTTTGGAAGATTTATAAGCTTGCTGACTAGCTGTGTTTTGATGGCAAACCCAACACCAGCTTCCCGTCGCTCTTAACTATGGCCACTCCAGAAGGTGTAGTCAGCTCCTTTTTCAGTTAGTTGTCCTTCTTCATCTAAGCAAGTTTCACTCAGGGCCGCTATCTGAACGTTGAATCTGGCCACTTCTCTACCAACTATAGCTGTTCCTCTCTCTGGTCTATTTGCTGTTATACAGTTGATCAGTGTGTGTACATTTGAAGCACTGATGGTGCGTGGTGTCACCTTTATCTTTTTGTGTGGTCTTTGACTGCTATGGTAGGATCCCCATCAGCCACAGTATGCTGACCAAGGTTAAGGTGAAGCAAACAATGTTTAGGGTACCTTTTCTAGCCCCTTCCTCATGCTATGGAGGAGAGCAGTGTGATCCTAAATAGGGCTGCTCATGCACCTAGGGGGCTGCTGAGTTCCACTGCTGCTTCGGTCCAGTGAAAAGCAACTCTATGCCCTAAGCCGCTTGTGTGCAGGTCTGCAGCTACAGCTCCCAGTGTATCCACACCTGCTGCTTTGATGCTAGCACATCACCACAGGACTTGAGTGCATCTTTGGAAAGATATAGTGATGTCATGACTTGCATGCGAGTTGGATTTAAGTGAAGGAAACTTGCACAGAGCCACCTTCACTCTCTCATCTAGGCCTGTCTGAATCCAGTAGCATGACAGTAAAGATATCTGCAGACATGTCTGGATGCAGTGGATGGCCATCAGGTCCTGCAGCACCTTAACTCATGCCCTACGCTGTCCACACAGCTCTTGCCATCTGCCTTCACAGCCAGGGGGATGAGCATATCTGCTTGGCCACCTGATCCACCAGAGAGGACTTTCCAGAGGGAGCCAGGTGTAGCTGGCTGGTCCTGGGTACAACCGGAAACTGCATCCTACTGGGGCTTAGGGTCATTGTGGTGGGACTGCTCCTAGCAAAGCAGTTCCTAGAAAGTGTCACCAGGGCCAAACCCCAGGGAAGGGTGAGTTTGGGGTGCCCTAAAACCCTATCCCCTGCTGCCTTATGGGTTACCCCTTGGTGGAAAAAGGCTAGAGGGGCTGACCCCCAAATAAAAGTAAGGGCAGGGCATCCACAGTTACAGCAGCATTCAAATGCATAATGTAAGGCACCAATTCTCTCACTCCCTGGAAATAAAACAGCCTTTCATGTAGTGGCTAGAAAGAAAATTTTCCTTTTAAGCAGGTTATCCAAAGCTGTCTGTAACTGGGAATCCTTCTTTTTTCTCAGAGGCATCTGGTACTGGTCACTGCGCCTGATGGGATATGGAATCACTCTACATAGGGACTTCCCTACTTTGGCCCAGACACTGTTCGTACCTTTTAGTGCATGTGTCATTGGACAGAGAGAGGCAGCAGGTATTTATCACTGAATGATGCCTAAATCAGCACAGCACCTGAATGCTTCCCGTGGGCTGAAGTCTTGTGCCACACAGGGAAACTCAGCACCTGGGTAAAATTGGGCTTGTTTGCATATACCCTGGCACAGAATTCCATGGGCAACCAGAGTTTGCTGGTGAGTGAGCTAGAATGTCATGAGACACCAGGGCTTCTTTTTCTCAGAGGACAGATGGACAATATCCATCACACATGACCCCCTCTCTAACCCAAAAAGCAGGGAGCTGCATCAATCATGTCTGACTTCAGCTCTCAGCTGGGTCCCACTGAGATGTGAGATTAACTCTTCAAGGCAATGTGGTTGCTAGCTAGATGCTTTGCTGCTGCAGCTGTTACATAATTCTCCTTATCAGCTGTCAGATCCAAGGTCAGCTTCATACTAGCAGCATCTGTGACTAAGAAGCTTCTGCAGGTGAGGCTTCCTTTTCAAGTAAATGGTTCAAAGTGGAAGATAAGTCACTGGAGACAAGGTCTTTCTCACCCAATGCTGTCATTGTGTCTGATGGAATTATGGAAGGAGAAAAAGGGACCCAGATATCTGGTGCAGAAGCCTGAGGAGCAGGGGGAAAGCTCTGCGCACTAGCTCAAGCAGGGACTGCCAGCTGTCCCTGGCTTTAGGCTTCACAAGTAACGCCTTGTCCTACAGTGTCTCCAGGCCTGCAGGCAGCTATGAGGTCTGCATGGCCCTTGTCAGCTCTTACCTCAGGGTGGGCTTGGGTGTGCTGTGCACACTCTCATTATCCTCCATCTCTGGGCCACTGTCGCTGTTGTTGCATTCCTCCAAGCTGTCATAAAGAAGACCCAGGTCCTCCTCCACATCCTGGGTTTGATCCACTGGGTCGGAATCCAGAACCTGCAGAACCAAAGCCAAAGGTGACATGACTCCAAGAGTGCATGTGTGCTCCATTTGGTACCAGATGCTTTCTGGAGAGGATCACCTCCCTACAGGAGTTTTAGTGAGGGATGAAAAAGCAGTGCCCAGCTCCTAATCTGAGGGGTTCCAATTTTGGGACAGCTGTGATAAATCCAGTCCCCTTTCCAAACTTCCCTTGGATACTCATGCTTTTCTACAGACTTTGTGTTGCCTGTTGCTGTCTGTTTTAGGAGTCCAGATGTATTCTGCAGACAGGAATCCAAATTATCACAAAACATGGGCCTACCTGCAATGCTGGGAGAAGACTAGCAAGCAGCCATTGGGAGAGCTGCTCTAGGAACAGCACCATCTTCTTCAAGCAACACTCAGCTGTGAAGACTTGACTCCTTTCCTCTGAAAACTGTTACTCTGAGTCTCCCAGACCCCAGCATAAAATGCCAAATCCAGCCCTTAGCAGGGATGGCAGGTATTCCCATCATGCCCAGTGGTGGCTGTAAAGCCACAGTCAAAAGAGGCTGAATAACCCCTCTATCTGACAAGGCTAGCCAACTTTTTTCAAGGAAAAGACACAAAATGTAAACCTAAGGCCCCAGCCCTGCTCAAGTCAATTAAATCACCAAACAGACATCTACATCTCTTCCACGCAGGACTTTCAGACTAAATAATGCAAGGAGCTCCCCCCACAACTTTCACTAAAATGCCCACTGTAAGCCCTGAGGAAACATGGGAAAAGTCCGGAACTCTCATTCTTAGAGAGCGCCAAAATTCACTGGACACTTTGTGCCAGCATAGAAACTCCAAGGACTACCCAACTTCTGCTTCCCACCCAGTGGCTCAAACCTGCCGGGAAAATCTTTTCAGAGGCTACTTGTGGTCTAGAGAAGAGCAGTACATATCATGCTAACAACATCTGCAGGTATTTTAATATAGGTTTCAAAACAAAAAAATTAAGTTCTGCCATGTTTTTATGTGGCACTCCATTAGGATCTGCACTCAAAACCTTTGGCACAGCACTACAGAACAGCACCACATAAACTAGGTCTATTAGTGAGTCAGTTAGTGGGTAGGTCTATTAAACTAGGTCTATTAGTGGGTAGTAATAGGTTGTTACCCTCTATGGGCCACCCCAGAGGGAATGTGTAATAAACAGAGGCTGTAGATTGCATACACAGCAACCACCCCATTTCATAGACAGCATTATGCACACACAGCTACAGCTCTTTCCTACAGGGAGGTAGGGCTGATACTTGGATGAGACAACTAAGATCTCTGTTCCATTCCCTGCTCTGCCAGGAATCAGCTTGTCCATCTCCTGTCAGGTCTTCTGTAAAATAAGGGGTTGGCTCTTGCTTCTAAAGCAGTGGTTTTCAACCTTTGGAAAGTATGTGAATACCCACACTTACAATTTAAAGGGTCTGCAGCTCCATTCAATTTCTTTTTAGGTGTCCACAAATGAAAAGTTAAAAACCACTGTTTTAGAGAGATGAAGATGTACTCAGAAATGAGGCTTGTGAAGTGGACAGTATTATTAACTGCAGAGAGTTAACAGAAGTGAAGCATTCCCATTATCTTGACTGCCACGCTCCTGTACCTTTACCCTAGGGCTAGGCCAAAGTGTTTTTTCAGGAGTAGCAAGTAAAAGACTGAGAGATGCCAGGACCACAGCTTCCTAGCACCTCTGCAGTTTCTCTGTTCAGTCCTGACAATAGAGACAGTTTGGCCTGGGCTGTGTAGCTGCCTCTGGAGCCTCCTGGGCTAAGAAGCATGTTCTGTGAGAATGGAATGTCAGGTTGTTGGTGCCTGGGCTGTGCGCCTGGACTGCAGCATGTTGAGCTGGGTAGCAGCAGCCAAGCTGACAGGGGGCCTGGGGGGTCAGCCTGCCAGCCTGGAGCTGCTCTGATCGGGCTCAGTGTGCTGCGGAGGGGCTGACTGGCGCATGAGGGTGCTTCAATGTGGGGCTAGCCAGCAGGCAGCCACTGCACTGAAGCACCCTCGTACTTCAGCCAGCCAGGTCAGCATCTACATCAGGGATTGGCAACATTTTTGGGCAGAGTGCTGAAAACACCCACAACTTCAATTTGTAAGATGTTGGTGTGCCAGGGTGGATGACAGGGAGGCCATAAGGGGTCTAATCCTTGCTGCTGCTGTGTAGCCCTGGCCCCTTCCCATCATCCACCCAGAGGCATGAGCGCCAAGCAAAATATCTTCAAGTGCCACACTCTGGCACCCGTGCTGGCGGTTGCCTATCCCTGATGTACACATATGTTGCTGTGTACGAAAAAACTCCACAGTAGTGTAGTACTTGTATTTACAAGTACTATGCTGCTGCAGAGTTTACTAGTTTCCTATGCCCTCATAGGGGTGCACATGTAGATGCTGACATGTTTACTGCAAAACTAATAGTCAGCTCCACAGTAAACATCTCATGCAGACACACATTGTAATTTAGTCAAATCAGGGTGGCTTTTCAAATAAACATCAACAGGTGCCTCATGAAGTCCAGCACCATCTCCCAGGTTCAGGTTCTGTTCCAAACTTCTAGGTCACTGGAGTTATTCAAATCAGCAGAAAAACAGGACATGGTTGTTTCAACTAGCCATTTTTCCCTAAGTTTAAGAGAGACAGCTCTCAAATCCTGGAATTTCAGAAATAGAAAGTACCATGTTTCAGGGTTGTATTCTCCAGGAGGCAGGAAATGCTTGAAATATAGATACACTGAAAGTACCATACAGGTCCCTCTGCTAGCAGGATGTCTGCAAACTCACCTACATCATACTGTAAGAGCATACCAGATCTCCCTGGGGATGCTGGCTCTGGCCTGGTCCTCCCAGGATTCTATGCAAGGTAGAGTACACAGCGAGACTTGAGGGCCATCATGGGATGTCCTCACACATGTGCCATGAAGTAACTGACCCCAAAACAAAGTGGGCTGCTGATGCATCACACAGGAACAAGTCAACTGTTTCTTACCTCATCTGTTACTTTAAATCTCTTCAGCAAAGCAACAAATTTCTGCTTGAAGTTTGGTTGCTAAAATGAAAGGAAGGAGAGAAAAATTCAGCAAGATCTAAGTGTCCTGTTATCTCCTGGCTGTACTCACTGCTCTATGGCCCAGCTGGGGCTGAAGCTGGCAAGTGTAAGTGGTAATGCTTCCTTCATAGCTTCCCAGCTACCAGATCACTGAGCAAAATAGGATTATGAGCTATTATCATCTGACCTACTGCACTAGCTAAACACAGAAGATGATTTGATCCTGCCCAAAGAGCTAAAGTCAAAACAGAGGAATGGCAGGAAAAGGGATATTGCTAACAAGCAAAAGACTGAGAGACGCCAGGATCACAGCTTCCTAGCACCTCTGCAGTTTCTCTGTTCAGCCGTGCCAATGGAGATAATGCCTTTCTATAAGATCCTGTCTTCATTAGAGAGATGGGCATGGGCCAGTAAGCCCTGCCTTAGTTTGTACCAGTTTTACCCTGTGAGACAGCAACACTAAATGAATCTCTCCAGTGCAGAGGCCTATGGCACACCAACTGACTGGCACTGGTGCTGTCTGCCACTTCTTTTAGGGAAGCTGGAACGAATGTACAAAAAACAACCCCTACCAAGAAAGTCTGCTCACCAACATAGACCCATTCCCCACCAGGGCCCACTAGCATAAAACCTGAACCTAGTGGCACTCACTCCACTGCCTGACCTGCCAAAGCAGGTTTCCCCCACCCTTTTACATTGGTGACCCCAAAGTAAACGTAAAACATCTTCCCAGCATAAAAGTGAAAACTGGGTGGTGCTAAGCCCAGAGAATGCATATGTAGGTGCATCTGGAGAGGATGAGAAAGAACACTTGGCCCTGAAGGCTGTGGAGGGAGCCTGACTGCATGTGCTTTGGATATAATAGCATTTTCTACACCTCACAACGCCAATGATAGCCTTTCATGATGCCCCCAGGACATCAGGTCTTATAGCTGAGGAACATGGCCCTTGTGCATGGGAAGGTTCTGGCTAGAGACCTAGCATGAATGAGATGCAAGAAGGCAAATGAGGGCAGTAAGAGAAGAGTTCTGGAGAATGCAGAGTACAAACATCTGCCATCGTGTGGCACAGGGATGTGTGTGCAGGCAACACTGCAGCCGTCAGAAACCAGCCAGACAGTGCAGTTTGCCCTAACCTTTGCAAGGCATCTCAGGCTCTGCTAGGACCTGGGAGGAGATGACTAAGCCACAAGTCAACTGCCAAGTTATTTCCTGGAGCAGGGTGTGTTTTTACACACCCACGCACACACACACACACACACACACACATGCACGCATGCACACCGAACCTAAACACTCTGGAGGCCAGAGAGAACAGGCGCAGCTTCTAAGCCACACACAGCTTCAAGCAGTCTGTCTAACTCAGGTACTCTTTTGCTTGAGAGGAGAACACACTTTCTCTGATGGCACCTGTGTTCTGGAAAGCAAGAACCCTGCATCACTAACCTCAGGCGCAGGCAAGGTGTGGAGAATCTGGGAGCTTAACTCCAGTCCCCTGCTGGGGAACGGCTTAAAGAAATGATTCTCAAGCAGAGTGCTGTGGCACCTTGGGGTGACTTGATATCCTTTCAAGAGTGCCGCTGTGTGCCACATACTGTGAGGTATGCAAACATGATTCACAAGATAAACCCAGAGATTTCAAATAGGAGTTCATAGTGTTAAAAATATTCTGACCTGCTGCGGTCTTTTGAGTTCTGTGCAACAGAAGAACGGCTTTAGTAATTTTCTGTAGTCAAAAAACAAGTGAAAACTAAGCCAGCATTTTCTGAGGGGTAGGAGGGTCTTAAGGCTAAAAAGGTTGAAAAACACTGGCTTAAAGCTTCTGAATGTCATCCTCCACCACTAGTCCCTTCTGAGCCTCCTGCTAGGTTAGGTAGGAACTAAAATCCCCAAATGCCTTAGAGAATAGGAAATGCTGATTACTCTGGTCATTGATGTGGTTCTGATCATTTTCCTCCTGGCTTTCTTAGGCTTCCTCATTTCATCTTCTTCATCATATAAATCCTAAATGGCAAGAGATGACAGCATATCAGAGGCACGTGGAGCACAGGGAAGGCCTACACATGTGGAGTCTGTGCATGCCACAGCCCCTATTTTCTGCAAGGATAGGTTCCTCACCTCGCTCACCTGACACCACTTTCCATCAGGGTTCCTCTTCCCGCCCCACCCTCACTGCTTATGGCTTATTCTGAGCCCCAAGGGGGCCCCAAAGGTCCTTTGCACACCTGCTGTCTGATCAGGACAAGCATCAGAAAGGCCCAGAAAATACAGTACTAGAAAAGAAGGTGGTGCCCTTCCAAGGCCCATTTGAACTGCTTCGTAGAAGCTGCCCTTGCTGTAGCCAAACCAATTATTTCTCAGCTTATCAGCTTTCACTGTGTAGCTGCTCAAGGTAGGGCCCACAGCTGAACCAAAGATCCCTTAGGGCCAGAGTCCCGGGTTACCCAAACAGCTGTCCCCAGGGATTCTCTTGAGCCATGCACATGGCCTCAAAAGATGTGGGGTCATGGTGAATATGGAGCTGGACATGAGCTTCCAGTATGATACTCCCAGACAAAAGAGCTATTGAGGTCCTTGGATGTATGAACAGGGGAATCTCAAGGAGGAGCAGGAAAATGCTATTCTGATGAGGCCTTGATGAGACCACTGCTGGAATATCATGTCCAGTTCTGGTGTCCACAATTCAATAAGGATGTTATGAAACAGAAAAGGGCTCGCAAGAATGATCCAAGGACTGGAACCCTGCCTTACTGTGACAAATTTGAGGAGCTCGGTCTGTTTATCTCAACAAGAAAGGTTATGGGGTGACTTGATCACAGTTTATAAGTATCTTCAGGGAGAACTGAAATTTGATGAAGCACTCTTCACCTTATCAGACGAGGGTACAAGACAATCTAATGCCTGCAAGCAGAAGCCAGGCTAATTCAAACTGGAAATAGGGTGCAAACTTTAACCATACAGGTAATTAACCCTCACTAGGGGCTGTGGGAAATTTGTCACCATGATCTATTTATGGTTTATTTTTAAATTCATTCTGGAAGCTTTTCTGAAAGCTTGCCCCTTGCTCAGAGGAGATGATCGCAAAGGTTATTTCTGGGCTTATCTATGATTTTATAAAGGAAGTCTGTTCAGGAGCAGTCTTATTTTCCAGATGGGTTTGCATTGACACTGCACCTATTCCATGTTGTGGCCAGCCAGCACCCTAGGGGCCCAATCACAAGCTGGCTGGTGCCCCAAGGCCCCATTCTCTGCTGTGAAGTGCCACTATTCTGTGCTTCCCTGAAGCTCTAGCAGATGGTCATCTCCAGGACAGGAGAGGACTCTAGGTAAATGGAGGGTCTGATGCATCATGCCTCCTGCCCTGGGGAGAGGTAAGAATTTTACCTCTCACTGAGGACAGGAAGCAGGACCAAGCTAATTTGAGATGGCCAAAGAGGCTGAGCCATCCTTACCTGGCCCTGTACAGCATCGTCACTGGCTTCCTGCTCCGAGGAGTAGCTATCATCCTCTTCCTCAGAGTAGTTATCAATGTCTGGAGAACGATCTGAAGTCACAAAATGCAGATGCCATGTCCCAGCACGACACCTTGCTTCCGCCCCAGAAGCCAAGGATATAACCTCTCACCAGTTCCCACAGCCCTACCCCCAAATGCAGTTTGGGAAACACCCTGCCCCGAGTAGCTCAATTTCCCCCAGCAGAGAGAGGAGCTGTCATGTCTTGTCTTGGATGAAGAATACATACCTGAGGCTTTGATTTTGGGGCCAGAGGGCACATTTCCATCTTCATGGTCAATGGGTTGGCTCGACAGGGAATAGATACTGATTTCAGCCACTCGGATGCTCACGTCCTTCATGCTGCTGTGCAGGCTGAGAAGCTGCCCTCCATCTGTTGGGTGCTGCATTACCTGGGCAAAGAGATAAACACCCATGCATAGGGGTGAGGCTTCCAATGCTAGGATGACTCCTGCAGCCAGCAAGAATTAAGCCTGGGAACTGCCCTCTCACTGGGAAAGCCCACTTACTCTGCCAGCTGCCAGCAGTTTGGAGGGTTCCCAGCTGCTGGCAGATGGCCAGTACTCTCAGGCCAGAGCAGCCCTAAAGCTAGCACCCCCATCAGTACTTTGAGATGGTCAGCTCCCTTTGTAGGTATGCTAGGCAAGAACAGGCATGCCAAGGCTCCCAGGCATTCCCCAGTTCCTCGTTTTCCTCCCAGTGCTGCTTACTTCAGCCATGTTGATGATGCCAACTGCCAGAGTCTTGTAGCCCAGAAAAGTGCGGTTCTTATACCTCTTCTTTCGCTGTAGCATGATTTGCAGTTTGTTGCCATCCCTCTTCAGGAAATGTGGATACTGAGGTGAGAGAGAAAGCACAAGGAAATAGCAAGGCCAGGGGTGGGAGCCAGGTCTGGGGTTCAAGCCAATCTTGACCTCTCACCACCAACACATTGATGAGAGTACATGACATGCAGTTCTCTGACCACCCCAGCCAGGTTCTTCACCCAAGACTCCTTCTGGGCATCTCGAGTTCCATTTCTGCTCCCTGGCCCCAGGCACATCTCTCTCCCTCTCTAGCATCCTCTAGCTCCCTCCTGTAAGCTGTGTCCTGAGTATAAAGCCATTATAGCATGACATCCCATGAGGTCCTGTCAGCGCTTTGGAGATGCTGTGCTGTCAGGCTGGTCAGAAAACTTTGGAATACTCAGAACTTCTGGCATGAAACTGGGAGATGCAATCAGCCTGGTGCTACTAGTTAGATGCCAACAGCACATTCCCTGAACCAGGTGGGAAAGCCCCTCACAGATACCAAACAAATGGCATTTCCTAAAAACAATGTTTGTTCAGAAGGTGATAGGTCTGTCGAAGATCTTGCTGGGGCTCCGCACTGAAGTCAGCAAGGCAAAAGTTACCTGTAAAGAGAATGTCAGTTCCAGGTCCGTCTCCATCAGGCCACCAGGGGGAAGGACATACTCATTGGATCTCAGGACTCGCTTTGAACCCTGCAAGAAGATCAGGAGATGTGCATGACAGTTAGCACAGACCTGCCCATCTGGAAATGCAAGTCTGATATGCTTTATACATAGGGCAGTTCACTTTATGCTCAGTCACCCCGGACTTACTGGCACTAGAGATGAAACAAGGACATTAAAACCTTTCTAATCCATCCACTCCAAGACCAGACCCACCCGTTTCCCACAGGAGATTTAGAAAGGCTTTCCAAAACTAGTCTTGATGTTTCCAGTGCACTCCCCTTGGAAGGGTATTCCACAGTTCACAAGGACATAGCCACGACCTCTAACGCCACTACAGACCATGGAGTTAGCTCTCTGTCAGCTAACAGAGCCATCCTCCAAGGACAAATCAGCATTTTGTATGCCCTTCTGCCCAAGCATCTCCATCCACTCCTTGTTTGGTGGCATTTCATGATATAGCACCCAGATGAAGTGCCAGAAGAATGGGTTCTGGTCTACCTGGCTCCTGAGCACACAGAG